ACAATCACTTCTTGCCGTCTTATGAGAAATTTTCTGAAATTCAAAATTTGCATATTGAAAGCCCCACATCCAAACTTCATCCTCAACAATGTTAAAAGGATGCTCGTGTACCATAATTGCAGTAGCCATTATTTCCCTCATCTTTTCATTAGAATATCTAGCACCAGGTGCTATAAATGAATTAACACTGATTAGAAGGTTGGAATGGAATAGTGGATTGCTTTTGTTGTGAAGAAGTGTGCAACCTCCTTTGCAAGCAAGATCCAACATGTCTCCAAAGATGGGAAGTGCTAGCTCTCTTGCCTGAGTATGCAAATAGTTGTTTGCAATACTTGCATCTACCTTTGAGCCTATTATCAGTTTCAACTTGATCTATTTCCTCCCAAATAGCTGAAGTTTTTCGCCTCTTTTTCTAAATGATACAATCACTACCATCATTCTCATCATTAGTTTGTTGACTACAATCTGTTGGTGCTTGTTGATTGACCTCAGTTGCAGTTGTGTTAGGAGGAACTGAATTGAATGACATTGTTTCACTTCCAAGTGGAGTTGACATTAACTAGAACTCAATAACAACAAAAAATCATAAAAATAAAGAATATATAAATTAATATATTGAATAATCAAAGCTTGGGTAATTGGAGAAAACAAAAACTTCCAAAGGTAGAAGAGAGGAACGACCAAGAGCAATGCAAATAATTGACCACTATATTCAGCAAATCTAATATGAAATCCATTCTCTTTACCTAACCAAGTTACATTTCTTGGCCACTATACTTAACGATGAAAGGAGAAAAGGCATAATCAGCATCTTGGTGGAAATATCAATTGTAATGAACGGTGACCAGCAATTCGGTAATGTAAAAATGTGAAAAGCAATATTCATGTTTGAAAAGTATAGGTTGAGTTTAGCAGACAAATCCTATATTCCTATCTTCCTCTATCATCAAAATACACATAACCAATGATTCTATGGAGAACAACATATGCAAAAGAGTAACATGTATGACTAATCAGCACCAAAATCTTAGGAAAGAAGATAGACAAAAAGGTCCCAACAGTTAGACTAAGGGTTGCAGTTGTGGCTATCTTCCTTGAGTTGTTTGAACCTTGCTCAAGTTCAAATAGACAAATATGATTGAATAGACTTGTTTGAAAATGCAGCATTGTGAATTTGAATGATGCATAAATTTTAGAAGATTTCTTAATGTATACTTAGACAAAATCACCTTAGCGACGACTTCCAATGCGACAAGGCTCTTACAATAGGAATTAACAGAAGCAAATTTCCATAACTTTTGAAGCTAACAAGATTTCAGGAAGATCGCCAAGTCTTTCTTATACTAGCAAGCGTCAATTTGATGAGAATGAAACATATATCTCTTAAAAAGAACCTTGATAAAAATTCAAAGGAGTGACAAGAGCTTCCAGAAATAAGGGCTACAACACCTAGGGTCTTTACACGGCATCGACAGATCAGAAGTCAAAACCAACAATCAGACTACAACATTTGGTCTTCTCAACCCAAAAATGAAAGAATCAATAGACAGAGCTTGACTAGATAATAGATATATATATGACAGAATAAAAAATATAGAGGCAGCAGAGCATCAACTTCAATCTAACTATTGCAAAAGCGATCAAGTAAAGAACAAAATGGAAGAAGAAGGGAAGCGTGTGTGATTAGCTACTGGGTACCTAAATCTGCCGCTATGAATCTTTGTACGACTGTTGACTACCTTTTGAGTTTAGTGTTTGTAGTTTATCATCGTCGAGAATTGACTAGAGAGTAGAGAAGCCTAGAGGGGATAGTGCAGTCTACAAAGCTGAATAAGAAATGGGAGTCAGGAAAGCAGTAGTGACGTAAGTTATAAAATTATAATTTTAACCTTACCAAAAAAAGAAAAAGAAAACAAGCCCAGGCTACCTGACAGGGCTAACAAGCTTATTATCAAGCTTGAGCCTGACTTGATAAGATAAACAGGCCTTTTTGTAGGCCTGAGCATGTTCTGATGGTTAAATAAGCCAAGCCAAGTCATAAGCCACGAGCCGCCTAGCCTATTCCCACCCCTAATGGCTGTATTTGGTTATTTTGGGACACATGCTTTGCCTTCAACGTCATTACATTAGGAGACCAGTTTGTTCACGGTGTCACACCTTACTTATATAATACCTTAGAGTCCATTTAGAATCATTTTAGACCACATTGGATGGTCTTGAACTCAAAAATCTCATTTAGGATATTACTTTTAGGAAATTACTATTCACTGTGCAATTTTTAGATTACAGGTCCAAATTTGAAAAATCATAACTAATTTTAGAAAAATTGTATGGAGGTATTCTAAAATTTTACGAAAAGCTCTTTCAATGCTATTTAAGGGAAAAATATCTAATTGGACTTATCCTTGCCCAATTCGTACAGTTTATTGGATAAAAATTACTGTTCATTTGGTAAAATCTGGAACTTTCAGATTCTATGTCTCAATTTTGGAAATTCGTATCTCCTTGTGTACACATCCAATTGAGGTGATCTACTCTCATTTTAAATCTTAAGATGTGTACTATAACTCTGCTAAATTTTGTGGCTTAACTCATTCATTTGATAGGTCAAACTGAAGCTTGAAACTAACTGCTCTAGGACTTACGTTTTATCCTTTCACCTTTGCTTGCTTTAATTCTTTTTATTTCTTTGGCATACATAACTTGGGTTTACTCTTTTCCATTTATGCTCATACATTTTAATACATGCCATAAGTATTCTATGCACATAAATTGCATCAAGTCATCCATAAACATAATTTACAACGTAGGAGAATTATACATTGAACATTAATCTCATTTATTAACATCAATAATTCTCCACTTTCTTCTCCTTGCTTCTCATGCCATTATTGCCCATCATTGATTGACCTAAATGGTTGGTTAGGAGGGGGTGAGATTCAGGAAAATCTCAGTAGCAAATAATACCATATTAATCATGCTAGATGGATACTAATACACTACACGCAACTTGTTTATTCTCTTGTTAATTAGTGACATATTAGCATGCTCAAAGCTAACTTCTTGATGCATAGCCATGGAGAAATAATCTACTCATCATAAACAGCAGTTACAGTAGCCAAAACTTGTCACAATAACATTCAAATAACATGTATACAGCAACACACAAGCACACAACATCAAGCAATGACAATAGATAAGTTCACTACCTTGCACCTCAAGCTTTCCTCTTGCTTTTCCTTTAATTCCCTTGACTTCCCAACCATGTGGGCATTTGGTCAAAGAGATTACATAAAGTTCAAGACTAACTCTCTTGAACTTAACCTTTTCTTTAAATTTTGGATTGATGTTCTAGCTTTTTAAAAATTGTTCTCTTAGGATAATCCTACACAATTTTGCTCAAAAAATCCAAATATGAGCTTAGATTAATGAAAATCCAACTCCTTTCCTCAAAAATCAGTTTGGCCGAATAGGGGGTTCATAACTCTAAAAATTCCAACTTTAATTCCAATGCTTTCAATGCTTGTTCTTTAGGTTTATCCTACACCATTTTTCATTTTAAAACCATTGGAAGCCTTAGAATCATCAAAATCACATCCTAGGTTATAGTTCTCATCTTGGCCAAACCATATCCCTAGTGAACCAACCATGAAATCTTTTCAATAACAACTTAAAACCACTTAAAATAACCTTGAATTAATGGGTTTTAACCAAGTTTAACATCAAAATCATCTTCCCTTATAAATTCTCCCATCACCTCCCCTTAGGGGATTTCACATTTTTCAACTATCAAACTCAAGAATACAAAGCAAGAAACAACATAGAACAACCTACTAACCTTAGATCCAAGTTTGGTTGATCAAAGGTAGGTGTCCTCCTCTTGATTATGCTTCAAGAAATAAAATTGCAAGAGTTTCCCCTCGTATTCTTAAGTTGGCCAAAATGGTGGGGGAGGAGAGGCTCTATTTATAGCCAAAACTTTGACTTGAATGGACTAAAATACCATTGGTGGCTAATAGAAAGAGTAGGGGCAATTTTGGAACTTCAAGTACACTCTTGCATCATCCTTACATCATTCTTCTAGAAGGTGCCAGGTGTCACAAATTTGGTGGAGGAAAAGGGAGATTAAATCCTAATCGTTGGATCAAAACTTAATCCTTAAGTTTCCTCCTAATTTACTTGACTCACGTTTTTCTGGCTTTCTTGACGGCCTTTTGGAGCTCAGAAAACTCTTCTATTTGCTCTATAAATTCCTTTTTATTCTAGAAAATGTCTATAAATTTTCTCATGTCATAATATTTTTTGTAAGCCCCACTTAAAATTCATTTACTAAAATACCCTTTTATCGGCATAATCAGCTTTTTAATTTATTAAAAGCCATTCAACTGGCCTTTTAGTTGTGAGACTAATTTTATAAATTAGTTCAACCTTTCAACCATTTAACCTTATTTTTATGTGCACTTTTAAGGTCTCTTGCCATTTTAAATAATTACCTCAAACGATATACTTTTTACCCGCCATAACCTCATAAATTCCATTTAAGTTGCCTCAGGTGTATTTTCATCATTTCTCTTCATAAAAGAGCCTTAGAATATTATTTCCCATTTTCTAGGATTTTCTTAGAATTTTCTATATAGTTTCCATTTGTAACCCCTGTTGGTAGTAACTTTTTGAATTTACGGCTTAGTCTCTACTTGGACTTAACCTCATACAACCATCTCTTTGAGGTTTCTAGCTTAACCTTTGGCCTGTATCTAACCTCTTTTTTCTTTTTGAGCCTTTGAAACTTTACTAGAGCCTCTGACTTTGATTACACTTCAGCTCTTGAGAACTTTTACTTTACAGTTTACTCCCTATTCTCATTCTAGCTTTATTTCACATCTATGGGACTTCTACTCAAATAGAGCTTAGTAGCCTACCTTCTTTAGGCTATTTCCAAGGCTTCTAGGCCTAAAACTTAGTATGTGACATGGGCTCGTTAATGGTGGAACTAGTAAAGAATGGTTTCTTACCGTTGTTTTTGGCCACCCAATGCTGCAACCTGTAGGAGTCTCTGGACTTCTCTCAAGAATATCCAAAGTTCCATCCAGCGTAAGTGGGCTGTAGTGGGGGAATTTAATGCAATTTCTCAACCAGAGGATCATTGTGGAAGGAGCTTATGTGGTCATGTTAGAGTAGATAGATCTTTCAGAGATTGGATTGCTGATAGTGGCATGATCGATATTGGTTTTAAGGGACCACATTTTACATCGGTACACAGATCGAGCCAGAGTCAGATTGACAGACTTCTTGTTAATGACCTCTAGCATGAACACTTCTCTAATGCTTTGGTTATTTACTTATCGAAGTTTAAATCAGATCACTACCCGCTACTTTGCAAATTAGATAATTCTCGTACTCCAGGGCATTCTACACTGCCTTTTCACTTTTTCATACCGTGGGTCCTGGATGATGTGTTTTCGGCACTTGTACATGAGAAATGGGTAGTGGGAAATGATTGGTGTGATTCGGTCTTTGATTTTACACATCATCTTATAAAATGGATCAGAGAATCTTTTGGCATATTTAATGGAAGGAGGATAAAATGTATCGATAGTTGCAAGGTGTTAGTCATACCATTGCTTCTTACAGTTTATTAGAAAGGCTTGAGAAAATTCAAAGGGAGCTTTGGTTTGATCTTAAGAAGATTCTATCACAAGAGGAGGCGATGTGGCTTCAATATTCACGATCTTCTTTGCACGCCAACGGGGATCACAATACTCACTTCTTCTATGTGATGGCTAATGGTAGGAAGAGATGGAATAGAATTAAGGCTCTTAAACTTCAATCAGAGGAATGGCCATACAACTCGCATGAGATCATAGCTATGGGTAGTAAATTTTTTGAAGACCTCTACACGGAGACCAGGGCAGACTATCGCCCTCTCTCCTACGGGTTCACCTACCCTCCTATTGATGCTAGATAGCTAGACTTGTTGGGACAACATGTTAACGATATGGAAACTAAACAAGCCCCTTTTGATATGGGCCCTCTCAAAGCTCCAAGACCTAATGGCTTGAATCCTCTATTCTATTAGATTTAGTGGGCATGGTAGGCAGCCCGGTTACATCATTGGTCAAGGATATTTTCAAGGGTCCACAACTGGTTTGTAAAGTCAATGGTACCAGTATTGTGTTGATTCCCCAAATTGAGCACCCGCAAACTATTCATGATTTTTGCCCTATCAACTTGTGTAATGTTGTTTATAAAATTGTGACAAAGGTAATTATGAATAGGCTCAAACATATCATGCCTGGGGTGGTGGCTCCTAATCAGTGCAGTTTTGTGAAAGGGAGGCCGAGTTCAGATAATATTATTTTGGTGCAGGAAATCATTCATTCCATGCGTTCTTTGAAGAAATGACATGGTTTTATGGCCATTAAGATTGACCTTGAGAAAGCTTATGATCGTGTTAGATGGGATTTCATTTTTGATTGTTTGAAGGAGCTTAAATTCCTTGAGAACCTATGAGATGTGATCTTTCATTGTGTCTCCTCACCATAGATGCAATTCTTTTAGAATGGGGAAGTAGCTAACAACTTTTTGCCTTCACGTGGCGTGTGCTAAGGGGATCCCATTTCACCTTACCTGTTTGTTCTTGCTATTGAGAGATTAGGACACCTTATCCAGATTATTGTTAATGATGGTGCTTGGCATCCGTTCAAGTTAAGCTAAAAAGGTACAGTTGTTTCTCATTTGTTTTTCACCAATGACTTGATTCTATTTGTTAAGGCAGATATAAAGCAAGCAGGAGTAGTGAAAGCTATTCTTGATGACTTTTGTGAGGCCTCTGGTCAACAGGTAAATGCTGCCACGTCTAGAATTTATTTTTCTAGAAATGTAAACGATGTCAGATGCAAGGAGATCAATGAATTTCTGAACTTTGCCCCCTCTGCAGACCTAGGAAAATATCTTGGAATGTCGATTCTTCATAAAATAATTTAAAAAATAATAAAGCAAATATATTATCACCTCATTAACGATATAATTTGTAAAGAAAAATTAAAGCAATTATATTAGTTTATTAATGACATAATTTGTAAAGAATTAAAGCAATTATTGTTAGTTTAATAATGACATAATTTTTAAAAAATTTAAGCAAATATTAAAGCAACTAATACCTAAGAATCTTTGCAGGTTTCTTCTTTTTCCTTTTTCCTTCCTGTGTGGGGTTGTACCTAGATGTCTTACACCTTATACAAGTCTCCCTGCTGGCATGCTCTCCGTAATGTAACATATAATCATTTGGGTAGACATCAATTTTCATGTAGTTCAGGCTAAGCTTGTTAATCGTCTTCTACACTTCATAAAATGACGATAGGAAATCCGTATAAGGGAATGCATTTGTCAATAATTCTAGGAGCATTGACATTGCCTTGTCTGTGATACCACATAAGCATTTTATATGATATAGCTTTACCAAGAATGATAACTGTGAGTACTTTGTACACCCATGATACAAAGGCTTATTTGCATCATCCATGAGATCAAAAAAAGTGAGTCGCTTCATTTCTTAGAAACTTTGGTTCAGGTCCCTGTACTTTTTCAGTTGATATATGTTCGTGAATCCCAAATGCATCACAGACAATGTCATTAATAAGGTGAGACTCCTCCGCTTCAACTCCCATTTGGGAAATTACAGGAGTTGATTGAGCAATCATATAGTGTTGTTCACCATGGAAAGACCAAAATGTATAATTTTGTGGGAAAGGCTTCAAAATTAAATGGTCTCTAACAACATCTTGTGGCTGCCACTTGTTGAAATTGCATTTAGGACATGGACAAAGAAGCTTACCATTAGTAGTTGTATACGCAGAAGCAAATTCTATGAATAAGGTTAATCCGACCAAATTTCAGTGGGACGTATGTGGCAATTTGATCCATGACCTATCTATGATTTATGCAAGTAAGAGCAGGGAAAGATTTCAAAGAGGAGCTCAAATAGAAGTGTAAATGGTATTTGGAACGTTTAATATAGTTAAAAGGGAGTAAAGCAACAATCAACAACCTATAGCGGTTAAATAATCACTACAGAATGAAAAAACCACTGCTAATGCCAACAGTCAAATATTTGTAGTGGTTAAATAACAGCTGCAAAATGATAAACTGGTACTAATGCCAATGGTCAAATATTTGTCGCAGTTAAATAATTGCCACAAAATGAGAGGGTGGCAAATTTCAAATTTTCAATTTTGTAGTGGTTTTATGAACCGCTACTAATTGATGATGTGAAATTCGGCATTTGTAGCGGTTTTGTCAATGTGTAGCAGTTGAGGAAACTGTTACAAATTTCAAAAGTGGAGGGAAATTTCATTTCAAATTCAATATTTGTAATGATTTTATAACTGCTAAAAATTATAACGGCCACTAAATCTTATTTTATTTATCCAATATAAATATTCTTTCTTGAAAATTTAAATAATTTCTATTTTAATAAATTAGAATTGAATTATATATTATTTTAATTTGACTATATTGTTTTTATTAATTTCAATTTAAAATTTAATAATTATTTTTTAATTTAATTAATAAATTTAATTCATGTTTAATTTTATCAAATAAATTTTAAATAATAAAAAATGCTAATACTAATTCAACTATTTAGAGTCGAATATAAACTTTTAAATATTATTTTATTTATCCAATATAAATATTATTTTTTGAAAATTTAATAATTTCTATTTTAATAAATTAGAGTTGAATTATATATTATTTTAATTTGACTATATTGTTTTTATTAATTTCAATTTTCAATTTAATAGTTACGTTTTAATTTAACTAATAAATTTAATTCATATTTAATTTTATTGAATAACTTTTAAATAATAAAAAGTGCTAATACTAACTCAACTATTTAGAATTGCATAAAAATTAAAATTCAATTATTAATTACAGTAATCCATAAATAAATAAAAGTGTGACTGTTCATAAAAATAGAAAAAATCCTTAAATGTCGGCCCTCTACGATGACTTCACAAAATCATCATCCACATCGGGTTGGGGTTGGGATTGGGGTTAGGGCTGGGGCTAGGGAGGCTGCGGCAGAAGATCATCATCCATGGAAATATTAGGCAGCACAAGAGCAGGGATGTCAGGCAGCTTCCATCCATTGCTTATATTTGGCTTGCATCCTAGCCTCACAAGCCTGAAGTAGGGCCCCATAAGCCTGAAGTCGGGCCTCAACAATCCACATCTCCTCACGAAGCTGCTCGATTAATGGCTCTCTCATATGCCTTTTGCCAGAAAAGGTCTGGTGTGATGCTGATACTGCTGCTGACTTGGAGGCCCCCGCCTCAAAAGATGCATGACGGCCCTAATCATAAATGGCACTTGGTATGGCACCAAAACCAAGTCCTCTAACTCGTTCTGGGTGCTCGGGTTTGGCTAAGCTTGCCCTGAGTGAGGCGATGGAGTCTACAGCTGTCTCTTGAGACTCTTGGAGTTCTACAACACTATAGGTGTGCCAAAACAATTTGATCAATTTAAATGAAATTAACATAATATAAAAATATGAACATTAAATTTAAACACTAAATAAACAATAAAATTTATAATTTAATACTAACAGCAACTTCCTCGACCCGCTCAGATATAAGAGTGCCGTCCCTATGCCTATAGAGCTATGGTCACATCTCGTCATAGGTGGGCATTCATACCTCCTGTTGCTGCATCTTTCTCCCTTGCCAATTTATAATAAAACAAAAAATATTTTTATTATTTAAATTCACATATATATGTACACTACATATAATTTGATTAAATTTGCAGTATTACTCACAATCTCACTATGTCACAGTAAATATCTTCAAACAACCGTATGTTGGACATCCTGATGGCTGCGGCTTACAGTGTTTCTCTAAGAAAGACACTGCAACAAAAATATAATGGATTTAGTTAACTTATATGGCAATAACATAACAATAATGCAATAAATTAAAGTCATATCCTCTGCTCAGGTGTCGCCTTAAGCTAGACAAATGATGCCCAGTCATTAGCAGGGACGCCATCTGGCACGTCTGCTTACATCTCCTCCAAGGGTCTCGTCGCCTCGCCTTTCTTTGCATTGTACAAGCAGCCCCTCTTGCTCTTTCAGCCCTCCCCTAACTTCTTTACTGTATATGTCTTTATGTTATCCCCAACAACAAATTTTTTCTACAATAGGTCCACGAGGAGATTGAACATGAAGGATATGCATTGTCATAGTTCCTTTGAATAAGCACAGTCAACTAATTAAGCTGGGAGGACATCTGTTCAATCAGCATCTAACTTATCTCGATAGGCAGTACACATTGTTTCCTATCTATGAGCCAAACTAGAAAGGGATGTCACAGAAGAACAAGAATGATGCCTAGGAGCTATTAAAGATAATTAATTAGTATTTGAAATTTAGGATTAAATATTTTCCTTAAAATAATTATGAGTTACTAGCTGCAACAGAATCAGCCGCGTCGACTTGGTGGACGGTTGAGCGGTTGGGAGGTCGAGGTTGTGGGTAAGTGAAATAAGTTATTTAATACTAATAATTAAATCTTATTGATATTATATGATTATCAATTTAATTGTGCAAGCCCTGTACCTCTCCCTCCACATCACCCTTGAATCCGCCCTCATCCCCCTCCAAGTTGAGATCGAAATGCTCATCAATCTCATAATCTTCCACGTTGATCATGGGCCCCTCATCCTCCTCTGTCAGCTCCTCAAACAGCCCAGGCTACTCAAGATGCAGGGGGGTCTTATAAGCTCAACAGGATCTTTACCATGTCAACGAGTCATGCTATTTAAACCACAAATAATTAATTAAACAATACAAAATACAAAATTTTTTAAACATAACTTTAATAAATTCTAAACATTTTACAATTACATTTGAAACCATAAATAAAAATTTAAAATTAGAAACCAACTTCAAGTTTCTGAAATTAAATA